AGGAAAAGCCATAAACAAAAGCGACTTCACGAGTTTGAAGACGTATCAAATTCAAGGAACCACATACGACTGTATACTCACCATAATATGATCGTTTTCATTAACAGAAGTAGTGGTGCCTATAAAACGAAGAGATATACTCAATTGCAAAACCTAAAACAAACGCTCTTGAACAACACGCACAAATTAGAATTCATGTTCTATCGCGTATGGTGATCTCAGTAGATCTATGTCACGATATTCATGTTCTCCTTGTCTCATAATACACGAGATAGTAGCCACTTTTTAAAACCTTTCTCACAAGATTATAAAAAGAAATTAGTGCCTATTTTTAAAGAAGCAAACATGGATGGCGAACCTACCGTCATATACATCATTCATCGTAAAACCCAGTTCAGTAAAACTCAATTCAGTACCTTCGGTCTTCACAACCCCGGCATTGTCTTTTTCCTCGTTTGTATGTTCTACAGCGCTTGAAAGATTCTTTTCATCACCATCCTGGCTAGGTTTCCCTAAAGACGCTTCGTCTTCATTTGTTCTTTCATAGTCGTTAATAATTATACTTTCATTGCTGTTTTCACTCGGCCCACTTTCGCGATTAGCACTGGCAGCATGATCCGGAAAGTCTCGTTCATTTTCACTCGTCTTGCCGAGCACCTCCGGAGCTTGTCCGTTATTTCCCGGATCACCGGCAGCATTATCCGGAAAGTCTAGTTCATTTTCACTTGTCTTTCCGAGCACCTTCGTAGCTTGTCCGTTATTTTCCGGATCTAAGAGTCCCTTGATTTGTTCTGACTGTGCACTGGTTGACTGCGTGTTTCTGTTGTTGGGTTTACCGCTGACCGGCCTGTTGGCTCCTCCTGCCCTGTTACCCTTCTTTTCTTTCTTCCTTTTGTCGGCTTTGCTCTCCTTTGCAGGACCAGCAGACTTAAACACAAACGAATATGTCAGGAGAAACGACTGAGAACACCAGCCCATAAGCACTGGACGTATATATCTTCACAAGGGGTTTAGGAGGGCTTATAAACGGAGGAGCTTATATCCGAGGGGGATTATGAATATCGTAAACTGCCGCTTATAAGCTCTGGTCTTATACATCTTCGTAAGGGGTTTTAGGACGGCTTATTAACGGAGGGACTTATATCCGAGGGGTAATATAACCGGAATAGAAAAAAGCGCTTCGAAACAAGCTGTAGAAAAAAAAGAAGAGTTTTTACCGCCAATATTTCCATCTTCATCTGTCTTTCTTCTTCATCCTGTTCGCCATATTTTTCCTTAATCTTTTTAAGTTTTGCCTGTTAAAGACCAGAAAAGCAATTTTAGTTTACATTACTAGAAACTGAAAAAACGTACGCTACTTGAAAGCACAACCGAAATTGCTATACAACTGGAGTCTAGCTAGAGTCTAGTTCCGATGCAGTGCGAACTAATAAGCTAGCAGGTGTTGCAAATCACAAAAATATAATTTTTTCATGCAAAAATGCTAATGAGCGAGAAGCGAGAAACACTTCAAATTGTGACTGACTAGAAACACGAGAATTGCAGTTCTGCTCCCTGAGACAGGCCTAGTTAATATCTACCTTTTTTCCTCTCTTCGTTTGTTGTTGTTGTTGTTGCTGCTGCTGCTGCTGTTGACTTGCTTTACTAGATTTCTGTCGAAAAAGAATATCGTGAACAGCCTATAGTTTGGGTAAGTTAGTAAATGGAATAAATATCAAACTCGGGTGGACAGATCTGAAACGAATAATCACCGTAAAGTGGAAAGAGAAAGGCTTGCAAATCGTAAAGACGTATTTCCAGTTGTCTTTTCTCCATGAACCAATGTCAGACGTACCTTATTTTCCTGTGCGTCTCCTCGTCTGTCGTCAGTGTTCTCGTCTTGATCGTCAACCTCCGCCAGAGAATCCCCTCCACTTTGTTTGGCATTCTTTCGGTTGTCTCTTTAAGAAAAACAAAAGAAGTCTGTAAGAGCCCGGGGATTTAGACGAAACTGAAATATACATGAAGAGTCACACATTTAACTCAGTGAATAAAACGTAACTTTCAACAGAATACTAACTGGAAAAAAAAAACGTTACCTAGTCAAAACGCAGCACAGAATATACACCACAAAAAACACAACAGAAAGGACCACAAACGAGGACTGACGAATTAATAATCCCCTTTCCCTGTTTCGAAGCTGGTTAGAAATGATCTCTCCTCTAAATTAGGGCGCGCCACAAAGGGTAAAGACTCGTGTGAAAACTGGGGCCAGCGAGGCGAGGTAACCCCCTTAAGAGAGGTAAACCACCTGTCCATATAATCTCAATGATCACGTTTACATGATAGGTGGGGTGACCCGCCACATGTTACCTCACCTTTCTGGGGTCCCCCACCTCCATGTAAACAGGCCCTAAGAGCCTGCAATAGGATTTGTGACGTCGGGCTCGACTACCAGCCGGCGCTCATTTGGTAGCCAGCAAGAAAGCTCTCTGTTTTAAAATGCGTTTTCTACAAAAAGCCTCGTTGGTTTTGTTACTGAAAACGATAAACTGAAAATAAACAGTGTACGTGGCAGGGATAATACCTTCTTTGTTTTGCTGACAGGCGCTGTTTACTTGCAATCTGGAGATTTAAAAAAAAAACACTTTATTTGAGAGTCCATGCATTTAGCACGAAAGTACTAATTGCGGACACTATTTACGTCTCCTAATGGAGACGGTAACGCCATTTTACGTGGTCATCCTGACCACGTGAAGGCCTAGCCGCTTACAAGAAAAAGGAGGTACCTTAATTTCTCAGTGAAAGACCCAGAGTATTGGACCGGCCCCGGGAATCAAACCCAAGACCTCCCGCTCCGCGGTTAAGCGCACCACCGACTGGAGTAAACCTGCCGCGGTTAGGTTCTGCAGTATTCTATGTTTTTCAGACACGTACTAAACAATAAAAGCACACGATGTACAATTTTTCAAGTAACGATATTCCTTGAATTCATCAGAAAATACATCATACTGCTGACACCAAACCTGAAGCTGACTAAGCCCCACCCAGAAGTACGGAGAAAGAAACCTCCATATTTTACATACAACGTCTACCCATCCGCCACGCAATTAATGGTCAAACATTTTTCGCTCATCTATACCTGTTTATTTTCTTCCAGTGGAGCACCGTTACCGTCTTCACTGTCTCTTCGACTGCTACTTCTACTTGTTCCCCGCTGAAGTTGAATTCTAGGAAAACAGATTCAAGATTCAAAAACTGTTTACTAAAACACGACGAAGTAGAGGGAACTCTCCGGTCCCATGCGTCCCCGTCGTCAAAAATGAGCGTTTAAAGCTCAAGCACAGTGGCAGCGCACTGCTTACATGTATATATTTTCTCAGCCTTTCACCGACCTCCCATTCAATTATCACATACTATTCGATGTAGGAAGCTCGGACAAGATGTGCTTACACGTACTGAACTTGATCCCGGTCAGAGCTGTTTAGAAAACAAACCCTTCTTTTACAGAATTTGACTTCATGCCATTAAAATCCTTAATACTACGTGTCTCGTCTCGACGCACGGGGGTTTTTGTATCCCATGATCGCGGCTCTTGAGGGCTTTGGCCACTTCTCTGCGTTCTACACAGAGCGTGTCAATATTTATAAACGACACCCGCTTCCTATTAGGTTGCAAAGCAAAAGCAAAAGGCAACAATTTGAAAAAACAAAGCAATTTCGGTTTTATCAACAGAAGCGATAAGGTAACATAAGCCATCAAGAAAAAAAGGCAGCGTTCGAGCGTTAACCTCTAATCTGAACGTTTACACTTTCGGACATCTACTTGATGAGTATCAAACCAGCCAGCGCCGCATTTGTAAAACCTGGCGGTACACGCCTCAGAGGAAACAGGCCGCCATCAATCTACATCACAGCCACTTCCATACCAACAAAAGCTATCGCAGACAGCGAGAGCCTTGGATTCGCAATGACGAAGGGTTATCGCTCGAAACTTCAGCTTCTCAGCCCTTGCGGTGCGCAATCTACCTTATCAACTCGGTTGATAAAAACGAAAATTTGCACGTCTTCAGTTTGAAGATCATCTCCTACCCAGACCTCTTGCCGACGATACCCTCGAAACCGAAAAGATCTGGGTTCGAGATTAGTTAGAGGGGACTGTATGTAAACTTACTTTCCTTCTCTAGTGAGCTGCAGATCGATGCTTGTGTCAGGGAACAGACTCGCCTCTGTATCTTCATCTTCTTCCTGATGCGTTGTTTGTTGTGCAGCCGAGCTTGTTTGATCGTTATCCTCACGGTCACTGTCCTCGTCCTGCACTGAAATCTCTTCTTCGACTTCTGTGTCCTTTAAAAGGTTTAGGCAGCAAAATTTCAACGGTGAATTAGCACTGTTTACATTCACGTGGTATTTGTCAATCTGTTAAGGGGATTAAGTACTATTTTGTTTTCGCTCGCTCGCGATTAGTATAGGTAATAGCATGATTAGTAGTGGTATTTGGCATAAATACCACGAGTGATATTTCAAAATTGTTGTACGTAATTTCACAATCCGTTAGGCGCGTGAAATTTGAGACAATTTTGAAATATCACAAGTAGTATTTATGCCAAATATCACGTACAAATTATGCTGTTATACCCGCAAAAGGTTTGTAATTTTCACATGTAGGCATTTTAAGTTAAGCTGAAATACCACTACTCTAAGCCAATCAAGTTGCAGAAATTTCTCATGTAGTGGTATAAAAGAAGTAATTTCAACGTTACATGTTACAGCGGTTTCAGCTGCGTACTGCAAGACTAGACGCACATCAAAAAGTGAGCAAGCGCGGGGAAAACGAGTTTGAATAGTCACGGGTGCTTTTCGTTTACTCATGACTGGTCGAGCATTTGGCGCGGGATTTGTTCAGCCAGTCAGAAATCACTCCCAGGCAACCGTTAAATTCCTATCAATACTCAACAGAAGACCTAGAACACTTATGGTCAAGATACGTAGTGACTATGGAAACGGAGAAGAAAGGTAAGTCGGCGTTCAACAATGCTGATCTCGCGACGAGTTGATATTGGGGAACTAACAAGGTTCACCAAGATAACGACAAGCAAAGGATAACCATAAACCGAAGGGACGGAAAGTGTTGAATAAAGGTATATGCCGGTGAATAATATTGCAAGTCATCATGAACTCACCCCGACAGACTCGGTATCTTCCACAGTTCGGACTCGTCTCTCATTCAAGTGATTTTCAATACAAGTTTCGTCCAATTTGAACATGAATCCAAAGCCCATCATCAAGTAACATGGTGGTAAAAAATTCTTTTTGCCCCTTATCATGAAGCTCCCTGTGGTGAGGTACTCTCCTGTGGGTGCTGTTTTAGACACCTGTGATTGATGTACCCACCATGCTGACGTCACTATCTTGGCCTCCCAGGCAGCGCTGTAGGACACTGCCATGCATCCTGCCTCGTTCAGGGTCTTTGGAGGGACGGGCTGGCCTGTAGGGTTCTTTATTACGACGCTGGTAGCGCCATGAAGATCTGCGTGAACGTACAGGTCACCTGTGCAGAAAAGTAATCAAATTAGAGCTTACAATTTAAGGGCGTGTTTAATGCATTAAATGTTAAGTACTCATGTTTTGAATTTCAAACGCGCCCTGTTGGATGGTGAGTATGGAAAAACGGTACGAAATGAAAAAGGTAAATCATTTTGCTCATCATATGACACGACTATGGGACACCTAGACTTTCTCAAAGTCCTTCGCTTCTCATTTCCGGTTCCGGTAGTTGGTCCCAAAGCTTTCGCGCTCGTGAGAAAAATTGAGCTCGACTTGTAGGCAAGTCTATGGGACACCTAGAATCATTCTCGTTTGCTTACCGAGCCCCCACTTCCTGCCCCCGCCTTGCTGATCCTCACATCATGCAAAATGCTTGTCACATACATGTTCAAACAGAGTAAATAATCTATAGCTCTACCTCGCTGCATTAAAGTATCTCAGTTGTTCAGTGGTTACGGCACCCGATCGGTACAGCAAAGTCTTTAAGGCTCGAATACAATCGAAAATTAAGCATGGTCCCACTTACCAGGTTCGTAAGAAGACCAATATTTCACCTGTTATTATCATTAACCGTTTAAATCCCATTATCGAAATGTAAATTCTCATTTGTAGTCTCCATACAATTCTCCATTTGCCACAATCCACCTTGTTTGCTCCCAAAAATTTCGCACAAGCTTTGTCTTTAATTTCTCGGGAACAACTGTAATACCCAGGATAAACTAAAAACGAAGCTTATACAAAGTTTTTGGGGGGCAGACAAGGAGTATTATGGGAGATGTGCAAACGGCGGTGTTCAGGTCAATTAAATCAGTTTACTTGGGTGATCACATGCTTAATTCTCGTAGCCATGCCTTCCGTTTTATAAAGTATTGATACAACCAGGAGAAATTTGATGCTGATTACCCTTCCTTTCCACTGCTAGACAAACACTTTACCTTGTTCCAAGTGTCTTTTCACTACCAGCTCATTTTGTTGCTGATCGCGGCCGCCGATAACTAGGTAGTTTTCTGAACTGATAAACCAGAAGAACTTTTCAAACCAGTAGGTCTTCCTTGCTTTCTTTATTCTAGTCGTTGTTTCCACTTCTTTAAGAGTTTCTTTTGTTTTTCGTTCTGCTGATTTCAAAGCCTACAAAGAAAGGAAAAAGCATTTCAAAGGACATCGAGCGAAGCGTTCATGTCCTGAGTTATTATCAGGATGCAGATATCCCAAGGAAAAAACTAATGAACGAGACACGAAAGGTGACTGATCGTTTCACCAAATTCATCTATTATATATATACATTATATAAATATAATCATCGCTCCTTCTAAAAGCGTGTCGAAGAGCGAACAAGAAGCAATATAGAACACTAGCTCTTCAAGTGTTTTACAGTCTGTTAGAAAACTAACCTTTTCTGATGCGTCTATCGTCTTTTGTTCTTTTTTGGAAGAGAACTTTTTCTTGTCATAAAAACTAAGTGAAGAAAAATAAGGGAGAGAATACCGAAGAGTAAACGAATAAAAATTTTAAAAAAAGCCATCACCGGCCTACCGCTAGGAAGAATAGACAGTGAAAAGAATTAATGCGTGTTAGACTATATATAAACCCTGTTTCCATTTCACGCCGTGCTGTCTTTTCAATGAACCATCTTACCTTCGTGCGTTAGCATATGCTGATAAAGCAAGGTTAATATCGACCTTGGTAAACTTGGGGCCCTGAGTGAAAAAGAAAAGGAACACTGTGATGCGTGACTTTTATAACAAAAACAACGCAGAGATAAAACGAACAGATACAGCAAACGATGAGATGAGAGAAGATTTTCAGTTTTGCTATTTGTCTAGGTCTAAACAAAAAATAACTTGGGTCTTATGAAGTACCTCAATAAAATGAAAAACCTTATAGTTGTGATCTTGACGTTCCGGAGTTTCTAAGATCAATAGTAAAAAATAACAGCGGGGCAAAAACGAAAACAACAGCCCGAAACCATCTCCTCGGCTTACCTTTTTCTTCTTTTTCTTTTTGGTTTTTTTGTCGTCTTCTTCCTCATCAAAGTCAGAATCAGAATCGGAAAAATCATACGGATTTCTGTTTATAAATAAATAAATAAATAATGATTTGGAGGTAGCACATCCACAAAGTGTTTCTTCGTCTACCTGATTCCTGGTAGTATTGGAATTTGGAAAAGTTGGAGAGGGGAAACCCAGAGTACCCGGAGAAAAATCTTTCTGAAGAATGGGCTCTTTGCACAAAACGGTCACACGGTGCAAAACGAACCATCTTGCAGGATCGCAAGCAACGCAGTGGGACTTTGAAAGGAAAGGGTGTTAGCTTTTTGGATGATGCTCTTACCCACTACGTTGTTTGCCATCTAGTAAGGTGTTTTTGTTCTATGTGATCGTTTCATGTAAAGGGCCCATACTTTAACAAAATGCCAATCTGATATAAACACTGTAGGTATGGCAGTGATACGGTTTGTTTCTACCACATCAAAATCAGAATTGGGAAACTAACAAGGGATTACCAATCCCTCAATCAATCTTCTTCATTCTGAGATTATACTTCATGATAAATAAAGAAGCTACACTTGGCATAAGATGACTAAACTAAAGCCTCGTCCACAGGAATCTGGAAATTTTAGAAACTGGGGATATTTTTACTCAGATTCGACTGGATGGAGCCTTAAACCAAACTAGTTTCCTACAGATGGAGGGCCAATTCGTGTAAAATAAATGTGGTTTCATAACTATGCAGATTCGTATGGACGTGGTCTAAAGCTGCATTCAACAAAACAGATATCAGACCTGAGATTCATGGTGATATGGTTGGTTTCCAGTTTTAGCCCTCCAATTGCACAGGCCACCTGGTCACCCTGTGCCTGAGCTTCTTTAACAATACTGTTGATTTCGGACCAGTCAATTTGATTGGCAATGGCGCTATTAACAATCAAGATGGCCTTGTCAACCTAGAGATTAAAAAAGTTGAAACGGACAGGTTACTTTGCAATTAAGGCATAAATTTCTTAGGTAGAATTTTAATTATTATTGGTGTAGTGGCAGTCTAGTCAATTATTATTGTCTATTGAAGACTTAACTTAAGCGAAGAAATATATATATATAAACATAAATAACAACATCAAAGTCTCGTGTCCAAAAATTACTAAATGTAAGATTGCGAGCGTTATAATTAAAAGTTGAAACTTAAGATACACTTACTGACAATTTGAACAGTTTTTAAGTCTTTCTCAATATTGTGTCGATACATGTACAAGTTCGTACACTCTGAGTTTTTGGCTGTGTTATAATAGCCTAATTAACAAAAACAACAACGGGAAAAGCAGCAACGTCAACCAAAAGTTGGTTTCTTCATCAAAAACAACAACACTGTATCCGACTTTTGGTAGATTTCTTTGCCATCCCCTGCACAGGGTATATTCCTTTACATCACCGAGCCAGTGCGCATCACAGTAACATTAAAAGTTGAATTTGTGTACAATTATGCGGCAATGCTCTTTTAACAGCTTACCAGTTCCAAATTCAGCTCCACCAGCTCAGCTTTAAGCATATCAAGGTCCTGGAACAAGTTAGTCACAAAAACATCCGTACAGAAACATTATTAATGTCACTAAAATGATAATCTTAGATCCCCCTTTCTTTTTATTTTTTATGTTTTTTGGAGCAGAGAGGGGAAAAATCATGATAGCTTTATCGCAATTTACAGTTATCTCTAGTTATGTCTTTCCCACTAGCTCTTTTAGTGCCCATATTACTGCACCATATTATCATTATTTCACTTTTTGTAGAACAGCAAACCTCCCACTTTGACTTACCCCTCCGAGGCCTCCCCTAACCCAATACAAACACTTACTTCTCACTTCCAGCAAATTTTGGATTAGGGAGGGGTCGCTGAGAAGTTTTACAGAACCATAAATGCACAAAATTTGGTAATATCATTTTATATCCAATTTGCATCGCTACATAACAATATTTATTATAGATAACAAAATCAAGTTTAAAAGCTGAAAACTAACCTGATTCTTTTGTAACTGCTCAATTCTTCTCTGATGATCATTCCTAACATTTTCTAGTTTTTTAAGTGCCGTTTTTTCTTGGGACAGTGCCTTTAAGTCAATCTTTTGTCCTTCCATCTTTGAGAAAAACTCATCNCAAGGTCCTGGAACAAGTTAGTCACAAAAACATCCGTACAGAAACATTATTAATGTCACTAAAATGATAATCTTAGATCCCCCTTTCTTTTTATTTTTTATGTTTTTTGGAGCAGAGAGGGGAAAAATCATGATAGCTTTATCGCAATTTACAGTTATCTCTAGTTATGTCTTTCCCACTAGCTCTTTTAGTGCCCATATTACTGCACCATATTATCATTATTTCACTTTTTGTAGAACAGCAAACCTCCCACTTTGACTTACCCCTCCGAGGCCTCCCCTAACCCAATACAAACACTTACTTCTCACTTCCAGCAAATTTTGGATTAGGGAGGGGTCGCTGAGAAGTTTTACAGAACCATAAATGCACAAAATTTGGTAATATCATTTTATATCCAATTTGCATCGCTACATAACAATATTTATTATAGATAACAAAATCAAGTTTAAAAGCTGAAAACTAACCTGATTCTTTTGTAACTGCTCAATTCTTCTCTGATGATCATTCCTAACATTTTCTAGTTTTTTAAGTGCCGTTTTTTCTTGGGACAGTGCCTTTAAGTCAATCTTTTGTCCTTCCATCTTTGAGAAAAACTCATCCACAGCCTATACACATAACATACTGACAAACTCATTATAATTCTAAAACGTCTAGTCATAATATTATTATTACTTTCTGAATTTTGCTGTCAAGATATCTTTACAATACCTCAATCATGATACACGGAAGATGCATTTGCAGTTCCATAATATTATTCATTTGTGGATATTATTTCCACTTGTCCTTCCTAGTGAGTGCTATGGTTTTATCTTTCCCTCACACCATTGAACTATAGGCCAAATCTGGCCTCACCAAAAACCACGGTACCTACAGTGTATATGTACAGCGTAGTCCATGCATACAGGAATTTTATTTATAAACTACATTGTACCTTGTCAAAGGATGGAAACTCTACATATGGGCCTTTCTTGTGTTGTTCTAGTAAAAATGGGTAAAATTCTTGATACCTATGTACACAAAAAAACAAACAACAAAAAATGAAAGAATGTTATTCACTTACTGGTAAGTATCTCAATTTTTAGAAACAATTAGGGCCATTTATTAGAGGAAAAAGACACGTTTTCATGTCTTAAATAAGACGTGACTCAGCAAAGACTATGCTGGATGGTATAAATACAGGCCATCTGACAGGGTGCGGAAAAAAATGAAAAATTATGCGGAAATTTCAGGCAATATTATGCGGAAGAAAGTGCCAATTATGCGGAAAAGACAACATATTATGCGGAACTTTCCAACGAAACGATCGCGGCTTCGCAGCTCATTTCTAAAAAAACGATCACGGCTTCGCCGCTCACTTCTAACAAAACAATCACGCCTACGCCGCTCATTTCAACGCAAAGTACGGTAAAAACGATAAACGGAAATATCAACAAGCTCTTACCAAGAATTTGAGTTCATTACATCTTTTAAACATAATGCTTGTTATCATCCGTACTCAACAGAAGGAGTGAAAGAGACTCTAGAAAATACACTTTACTAAACAGATCGATTTAAACAGATCTACATGTTTTCAAAGGCCGTCTCTCGCGTTCGACTTTCCCGCGCTCGTATCAAACGCAGTTTCTATCAGTTCCTGCTATTGGCTAAAATACAAACGCCATCTATCCAATAGAAATTAGCATTATAAAAAACTAGTTTCCAGGACACCCCAGAAAGTGCATGGAACGCCTGGGGGGTTAAAAAATGTGGTGTACGAACAAGCAACGAACAAACAGAGTATTTTCTCGCTGATTTGGGCAAAATATTTCTTCAAAATGATCAATCTCTTCACTAATTTTGCTTCTGAGGACGGTAAGCAATTCCACCTTTGCTTATATGGAGCAATTTTTTAGTATTGTGCGGAAAAATGCCCTCAAGATGCGGAGGATGCGGAAGTTGGTCAATTATGCGGATCCGCACCACCGCATCCTGTCAGATGCCCTGTAAATAGTACAGTTTGTGTCTTATTTAAGACATGTCTTATGTAAGCTGCATCTTACTTTTCCCTGTATAAATGGCCATTATGTTACAGAATCCCAAGACCTTATTTATTCTCTTGTACTTCAATAATGTACACAAACTTTTCACCCATGTGTCAAGAAATTGATTAATTAAAGTAACACTGCACATCAAATAAAAAGATAATGTCCTGCGAAAAAAAAATTACCAAAAACTTTAAAGGTTTATAAACACATTTCCCTCATAAGAATATAAGAGTCGCAATTGGGCAAGCTGATATTAGGGTCTAAATGGTCAACCCATCCTACAGATTTTCAGCAACAAAAAAAACCCATACAGGTTGTGATTGAAAGTATCTCAGCTCTTGGCTGCAATATAATCTATGCTCACATTATCTATATGATTGACAGCTAACACTACTTATACAGTCAGGTGATGATTCAAGGAAACATACGTTAATAGCTCATCTTGTGTGCCTTTGTCAGTCGCCATGCTGGAAGGCTTCTTTTCTCGTTTTTGAACTATAACACCCTACATTAAAAGTGAAACAATCAACAAAAAAGCAAAATTTTGATATAGATTTGATTTTCATCTTTGTAAAAGAGAGGCAGACAAACTTCAGGGAAGAGTTGTTTGAAACCCAACTAGCAATGATCCTGTGGGCTACCTACATGTACAGCAGATGTGTTATCACGATGGCAACTTTATACATTCCGTTTGTGCGAATTGTTATTCCTACAATTCTACTCAGGGAAAGATGACTTACACTGAATGTGCTAATTATTAGCACAGTTAAAAATACATTATGATCTTCACTGGTAACATCCTAGTAGATTATTTTGTATTAAAAAATTAACCATTTTTGTGAGCGCTCAAACTCATAGACCTGTTGTACATGTACCTTGCATTTTTCTGTAAGGGCAATATCCAGAAAACCGTCTGCTCTCTTCAATGCTGCCATTACCCTGGGAAGGTCTACATAGCCACAACAAGAAAATTGCCATCATCAAATTTATTAATACCAGTAAGAAAAAAAAATTTCTCTAATATGTTATTATTACAATTTATTATACATGCATGTATGGCTACAATAGTGTGTGCAATCTGATTGGCTGTTTTCTTGTAATGACCAAGCATTATTTTCTTGTAATGACCTGGCATTACTTAAGCTAGATGTCCAAGGCATATACCATCTGTGTTTAACTTGATAGTGGACATCGTTATGGACATCCATGTTATGGTCAATTGCCAGCTGTCAAAAAGGGCATCTGCTGACCGGTGTCACCTGACTGTATCACAGCTCAAAAGTACAACTAACTGAGGTGATGTGTTTTTTTTAAGTTATCTGCTGGCCAGTTGTTGGTTTTAATTGATTGCAGGTTCAGGTCCATAATAAAAAGGTCATTTAATAAATAACTTATTAACCTTGTAAAAAACTTATTAACCTTGTCCGTTTGGTCATTACAGGGAAATCTCAGACTGAGGCCTTGATATATTGACCAAGCGAGGTCAATACATCAATACCCACTCTCGGATAATAAGTAATACATGTATGTACATGTGAACTCAGTGACAGGATCCATTTTTTCCACTTTCTATGTATAAAGGAAAATCCTCATAGTAAATTGTACAGAATTTGTTCATCGCATTAAGAAAAAACCTGTGTCTCGACTTCGTTAAAATGGAAACGTTCCAACCGTTTCCAAAGTAAAAGTGACAAAAACTTTCAAAGTCATGTAATGACATGAAACAAGTTAATGTATATGTATAATAGAACTTTTGCAAGACTAAGGTCACAATCATAAAAATTGTTACAAATAGAATTATAT